TCGTATTTTTTTCCAATATTTTGCCAAACTTGTAATGTATTGTTAAAAGTATTATCATTTTTATCATATATTTAACATGTGCTAAGTGTCTCCAATTTCTTAATAGATGCTTGTTGATTCTGAAAGTTAGTATCAATTTGTTGGAACACTTTGTCTATCTTTTGTATGTATTGATTAAACATTTCCTTCAAACTTTATTTTTTTCTTTAGCTAGGAATTGTTTGAATTATTCCTCTACTGATTATTTAACCATCTGAAGTTCAGACAATGTCTTCATCTTGGGTTATAAGTTTGTCCATATGTATTAAAATTGCGAGAACCAATTTGTCCATATGGGTTAAAATTGTCAATAAAATTGAAAAAAAAATTTACCATTGTATCTAGAATTTTTTTCAATTATAAAAAAAAATATTAAAAAAATTGGTGGGAATTGGTTTTCCCATAAAAGGAGGAAAATGGCACGTGGGAGTGAAAAGAGGGAAATCAAATTGCCTATAAAATAAATGCTTTTAAACACTCAAAAAGTGGAAGTTGGAATACTTTTTTCATTTTCCATGGAAAATAATATGAATCAAATGGACCTTAAAAGAATGTTATTTTTCACTCTCTCTTATATCATGGTTTTCGATCGACATAATTCCTCGACTCAAATATTAATGAATTTTAAAAGTCCATTAAATTTGGGTATCGTAATTTATATTTTAATAAATTTATTAATATCTAAGGGTCTCCAATAACTAATAAATTTCTTAATATTTTCATCACTGGGGAAGATTTGAAAAGATTTTAATTGATTTCGAGCATATAAATTTACATGCTGAACACCTTAAAAGTAAAAAATTATTTATACACGTTGACAAAAAATAACAGAAATAAATAGAAATAAAAAATATAATGATAAATACATAGTACTCAAAATTTCTCATTTTCAATTCTCACATTTATGGGAGAGAAATAAAAATGTACAATTGGGTTCTCGTTTTTATCAGATTTTGGAATTGAATTTTTAGTCCGGATAGCTAAGCATAAAAGATTAATTAGTTCATTCGGATTTTTAAAATTCTATTCACCAATGAAATAAATCTTTAATCATAAAGTATTTATGCATATTTTGTACGTAATATTCGATGCTAAAATGAAAATACTTTTATTTTTAGATTGAACTGATTTTTAATTTGTTTATATTTATTTTCTTCACTTTGTAGATTGTAATTTATTTATTTTTCAAAATTTTGGAATTTTGACTGACCTTTAATTTATTAATATTTATTTGTTCATTTTTTTGATTGAGGAAATTAGTTATTTTAAATGACAAAGTTATGAGTTTTTTTGTAAAATAGAATTCTATTAAGAATTTATAGAATTTACCTTTCATTTATTCCAAGATTTTGGGAGACTTTCACAAATATTTTTTTTTATGTATGTATTTTTCGTCCTTCCTGTATTTCTTTTTCATCTTTTGAACTTAGAGCCATGATTTGAGTATTCTTCTACCGGTTATATTTGTTTCATTTTTTTTTCTTTTTATCATTTCTCTCTATTTTCTACGAAAGAGTAAATTGTAATTAAAAAATCTTAAAACATTTTTTTCTTTTTTTTTCTCATCCAAATTTTTATGAAAAAATCAATTTGTAATTAAATTATAATATTTTTATATAACATATTTTATAATTTAATTTTAAATATATTGATTGGTTGCTCATTTTTAAAGGTATGACATATTGATAATACTGAAAATTAAATATTTTTTATTTCTTTTATTAAAGAAATATTATATCTTTTTTGTATTTTGATTATTTATTTATTTAACTAAGATGACATAAAATCTTTATTCTTGGAAAAAAATATATTTTATATTACATTGGGTGGGAAAGGAAATGTCGGGGATTGAAACACCACATCCTATGTTGGAACGTACTCATTGCGTTAGACCCACTTGAATTCTTGTTAAAGTTTGACCCAAAGTCCATTAGGTATTTGTAGATTTGTTAAATTGAGCTTTGAAAATGTTAAAAATATGTAACAAGGAAGAAAAGAAGCGGCATTGCGACGAGTTTACACTTGAACAGCGAGACAGAATTTTCACCAAAAGCTTGCCCCCGCTTGGCGCTCGAGCGTCGAACTTGTACAGCCGAAGTTTGTTTTCTTTATTCCATGTATTTTTTTATATATATACTATTTCCATCTTTATGACTATTATTAGGGTTTGACATGTGCACATATATATAGTGGCTCTTCTTCAGAGTTAAAACAAGTTAGACAAGTTAAAAACACAATATTCATTGTGTTATTTCTCCATATTATATTAAATCCTCAATTCCCCTGCAAAGTTCTTTTTGTGTTGTGATTGTTACTTCATATTGTGTCATATAATTTCATTTCTTCTATTCCTAATAGGTGGTATCAACATACATAATTCTTGTTCGAATTCTGACAAGTGGTATCTGAGCTTGATGTTTATTTTGTTCGAGGTCTTGTTCTTGATGACAACTATGAAATATGATATTTCACTTTTAGATCTCAGTACTAGATTTTCATTGTGGAAGTGAAGATGCGAACAGTGCTTGCTAAGATGAATTTGTATGATGCGTTGTTGGGATTTGACAAGATGTCCACAATTTAGACGTTGGAAGAGAAACAATGAAGGGATCAAAACGCTATTTCATAAATTCTTCTTCATCTTTTGAATAATGTTGTTTAGGATGTTTTGAAGGAGAAAATTGCAGCTGCGTTATGATTGAAATTGAAGCAATTATGCATGACGAAAAATATTACCAGCCAGTTACATCTGAAGCAACGTTTGTAGAAAACACCTTACTGTCTTTAAAGAAATCGTCGCTGCTTTGGAGATCTTTGATGTTAAGTATGATGATGAGGATTTGTACCTGATTTTATTGTATTCATTGCTCTCTTCATATATATCGTTTAGAGACACGATATTATATAATCGTGATATTCTCACTATTGAAGAAGTTTGCGATGCTCTATTTTCAAAAGAGAAGATGAAGCTGATTTTGAAGAGAATTGTTCGAATGATGGAAAACTATTGGTTATTTTTTACGGGGACTCCAAACCTGATGAGGATTAAATTCTTGATACGACTTGCATTTTTCATATGTGTCACAATCAAGATTCATTTTCAACATATGAAGAAGTCTTAAAAGGTATCGTGGTTATGGAAAATAATACACCGTGTAAGGTAACTTGCGTTAGAAGAGTTAGACTTAAGATGTTGGATGGGACAGTTAGAAAACTTGATGCAGTGAGACGCGTTCCAGATTTGAAGAGAAATCTTATCTCCCTGACTGCTCTTGATTCAAAAGGGTTCAAATTCATTGGTGAAGGTAGAATCTTGAAAGTTTGTAAAAGTTCACATGTTGTGTTAAAGGGGCAGCGCAGTTGTATGTCTTGCAAAGTTGTACAGAATCTTTGAAGATCAATCAACAGAGGTTTAGTACTTTGGTGGATATTTAGTTGGTACAGTACTGTTGGAGTTTGGTTTGGAGCTGTGTTAAAGAATACATCTCAGTCGAGTTTAAAGTTTATGAATAATATCACTTTGCTACAACCACCAACGGTATCATGTATTCAATTGCTAGAGACAAACCCAAAAGAAATATTAGGCCTCCACATAGATACCGAAAAACTGATTTAGTTTTGTATACTTCAAGTGTGGTTGAAGGTGTTGAGAGTAAGAACCTCTACAAAAGCATTTTGTGGTGTTGATTCTGTTTTAGAACGTGATTTTGTTGCTCTTTTGATAATTCGAGCAAATTTTGAGAACTTTTTGCTGAGCAGTGTTTGGATTCGTTTATCATAGTTAGATTTCGTGGAAAAGATGGAAAATTTTGTTCGTTGGAAAGTTCAGTCGATGTTTTTTTGAAGAGTTCAGTTTTTGCCTTGCAGTGAAATTTGTCTACAGTTATATAATTTTTGGAGTTTGATTCATTGTATGGAATTTGGTTCAAGGTGGATATTTATTAAAGCTTGACCCAAATTCCATTGGGTATTTGTGAATTTGTTGAATTGTGTTTTGAAGGTGTCAAAATATGGACCAATGATGAAAAGACGTCATATTGTCGCTAAATGGCCGATACCTTGCCGCTTGAGCGACGCACCTACCGCAAGCGCCACGCTTATCAGGATTTGGCATATCCCTATATATAGTTTGCTCTTCTTCATAGTTAGAACAAGTTGGAAACACAATATTTATTGTATTCTTTCTTCATATTATATTGAATTCTCCATTCATTTGCCAAGTTCTTATTTTGTGATTACTTCATATTGTGTCATATAACTTTTTCGGATTTTAACAAGTCTATTTTAAAAGAGTTTTCGAAGTTATATGAATCATATAAAAGTTTATAAAAAATTTTAATATAAAAATCTATAAAGATATATAAATGACTTCTATTAATTCTATACAAATCTATAAAAGTTCACTAATTAAAAAAAGTCTATAGAAATCTTTAAAAGTCCCGATTGAATTCATTCCCCTAAAATTTAGGCCGAATATGCTAATTAATAGATAATAATTTGTTTATAAAAAAATCCATAGATATCAGATCAGATCAGGTTTGAACATAACCCGAACAGAGCATCAGGGGGTCAATTTTCCATAAAAAAGTCAATTCTACAATTCCACATCCAACAAACAGCGAGCCAAACTCAATATCTCAAAAATAAAAGTTTGACCAATTATCACAAATGTCAAAAGAATCGTTCACCTAGCTAAGATTGAAAAAAGTTGACCATCTATCTTCATTCATCATAATCACAATGATTCCGTGTTCCCATGTCACACGTTGGCCCCATCCCATTCACCAATCCGCCTTAATGTCCTCAAATCTGTCCCCCACAAACACCGCTCCCATAATCACTGCTCAAAAACTTCACCTTCACACCATACTTAACCAATACTTAAAAAAGGCATATAATCCATACTTAATTACTTTACAATTAGACAGATTTTTCCATGACATGACACTAATCACAAAAACATGACAAAATCTAACCCTTACTCCCACGTGGCTCTATTTATGCACACTCAAGCGAGCAGATCTACTAGTTTGCTTCTTGCTCTTTACTCTGCAATGGGGAAAGAAATGGGATTCCTTCTTGCTATCTTCTTCTCATTTTTTACTTCTTCGATTCTTGCTAGAACTCTTCCAGTTAGCTCAAAAACTGCAGTTCTTGATGTCTTTGCTGCAGTACAAAAAACCCAAGAGCTATTTTTGCTGAACTCCCAAAGTGTACTACCCTCGAAGAGGAGTGTACACGACCAGGAACCCTTTGTGTCTTCTGCTTCTTCACTCAGTTTTCAGATCCATTCTCGCTTGGCAATCCGTGGAATTTCATACAATAATTACAAGGAACTAACTTTGGATCGACTCAATCGGGACTCTATCCGTGTCAAGGCGCTTCAGACTCGGGTAGATCTGGTGAGTCAGGGCTTAAGGAAAGCAGATCTAATCCCTTTGGAGACAGAATTAGAGGCAGAGAAGCTAGAGGTTCCGGTAATTTCGGGAACGAGCCAAGGCAGTGGCGAGTACTTCTGCCGAGTTGGAATAGGTCACCCGCCTAGTCAAGCATACATGGTGCTCGACACGGGCAGTGATGTTAACTGGGTGCAGTGCGCACCCTGCGCAGACTGTTACCAGCAAGCCGACCCGATTTTCGACCCGCTCTCATCCTCTTCCTTTTCACAACTCACTTGTGGAACTCAACAATGCAGGTCCCTTGACGTGTCTGAATGCCGTAACAACGCGTGTCTCTACGAGGTTTCGTACGGCGACGGCTCTTACACTGTCGGAGATTTTGTAACGGAGACGATCACTTTCGGTGACTCGGCTTCGGTTAACAACATAGCCATCGGCTGCGGACATAATAACGAAGGACTCTTTGTCGGAGCAGCCGGTTTAATTGGCTTAGGCGGCGGCGCATTATCTTTCCCTTCTCAAATTAATGCCTCTTCTTTTTCTTACTGTCTTGTAGATCGTGATTCCGACTCGGCTTCGACTCTGGAGTTTGACTCAGCGATTCCACCTTACGCCGTTACAGCTCCGTTAGTACGGAACTCGAAGCTGGACACTTATCGTTACGTGGATTTAACGGGAATTAGTGTGTCTGGGGATTTATTGCCTATTCCGCCATCCACCTTTCAGTTGAATGATGACGGCGATGGTGGAATTATAGTAGATTCGGGGACTGCCGTTACGAGGCTGCCAACGGAGGCTTATAATTCTTTGCGTGATGCCTTCGTAAAGGGTACGAAGAACCTGCCGTCAACTAAAGGCGTGGCGCTATTTGACACGTGCTATGACCTGAGATCTATGAAAAGTGTAGAGGTGCCAACGGTGTCGTTTCATTTTTCGAATGGGAAAGAATTGGCTTTACCGGCTAAGAATTACCTGATACCGGTTGATTCTTCAAGTACTTTCTGTTTGGCATTTGCTCCAACCTCGTCTTCGCTTGGGATAATTGGGAATGTGCAACAGCAGGGGACACGCGTCAGTTACGACCTTGCTAATTCTCTCATTGGATTTTCATCCAATAAATGCTGAAATTAATTTATATTTTTCTCCTCAATATTATGATATTATCTCTTGCTTGGAGTATATTGATTTAAGGTTTTTTTTGTTATTTATATTTTTAGTTAATTTTGTGACTGAGTGAAGAGGTTGATGGGCCTACTCTTAATAAATGTAAGCAGTAAGCCCAGTTGGTAGGCCCAACCTCTAGTGGTTGTGTGCTATTATTGCAATTTGGATTTTTGTATAGTAAAATTAATTGTAACTCGTGTCACCTTATCAATAGAAGGTTGGTGAAAAATTAAAGTTTATACCTTTATTGCTACTTTAATTGTACACCAACCAGTATTATTGTTAATTTTATAAAGTAATCAAGCCTCTGGATATGCTAATAAATTTTATCACAATTTATTTTTCTATTTTTATTATTCAATTTAACTTGCGAAATTTTGTGTTTAGGAAAAAGCCATTTGTCCCGGCTCAATGACCGGTGGCAGACCCCCCTCCAATAGGGGGGCGCCAACTGTTTTTTGTCCCGGTCATTGAGCCGGGACATAAAGCACTTCTCTCGTTGTAATTTTATGTATTATTTGTAGACTAAACTTGCTTTGTGGTTTTGGGTAAATTTTTAGGCAAGTGTTATACTTTCACATTTAGAAGTTATGTCTGGACGAAGTCACCTAATTGAAATTATATCAATGTATAGTTACTCAATTAAATAAAATTTAAGTAAAACTACCAATGGAGAATAGTGATTGAGTTTAATTTAATTGTGTCCCGTATTATATTTCATTTACGAAATAGTTCAATAAAATGTTCAGCTTGAAAAATAATTTCTAAACACATAATAACATGATATTAAACACAGAAAATAAACAAAATACATGTTTCCATATCATTTTAGCGTTACTTTAAGAAGTTTAACGATCAAAATTCAATCAATTTAAAGTATAACGAGCAATTAAAGACGTCTGCCAAACTGTAGTGACCAATCCCATTTTCCAATCTTTAAAGAGTCATTCGTTGACTGATGAAATGAGGTGGCAACGTACCGTGACTTTGTGTAAACTTAAAAGGAGCGAAAGAGAAACTATTCGAATGAATACAAAATGAGGGTGTACACGATTAATAAGCTATCTTCATGACCTAAAACTGATTAATGGGTTCTCTCCCATGAATACAAGACTAGGGCTTTCACTAATATATATATATATAAAATTTAAGTATGGTTCTAACCGAATCTAACCGCTCGGATTATGGTTTGATTTGGCTTAAACATTTTGTTCGTCCCTAGTAACATCCTACACTTTAAAAAGTTTAGAAACCAAAACTCGACATCTTAAAATGTAGAGAGCAATTGAAGATGTCAACCTAAATTTAGTGATTATTGAGACAATAAACTTTTTTTTTTTTTTACAAGCTAATTTAAACTAACTATGTAAATTAAAAATAAATATTTTATAAAGTTTAAAATTAGAAGAGAATATGAAAAACGATCAAATC